CTTCAAACTTCTTCACTAAATTCTGTATACATTTCTATCCTACAGGGAGGTTCTTACCTTTGTTGGCCAGTTCACCGCTCTGTGCTTCATGGCAACCAGTGTACTGCTGGGAGTGAGGCACATACAAATTTTGCCAATGAATCAATATTCCTGTTGGCCAGTAATGTTCAGAATAAAGTAGTTACAATTCACAGATCACAGGAGGTGTTGAAAATGTTGTCCTTGTCAATTGTGGATCGATCTCTCCTTTGACGGATTGTAGAAACCAACTGCAAAAATGGACCCTGCTAGCTGGGTCATGCGGTTCAAGGCATGTGTGATTACTGTTGTTTTATAGAGACTAAGCTTCAGCAGTTGTGATGCCCTTCTTCCGCTAGACTTTGACATTCCAGGCTCTTGGGCTAGACGTTTCAGTGATTCTCTAGGCGTATGCTCAAATCCAGCTCCCATGCCATCTAACTTTTCTTCAGTAAGCACTTGGCACTTACGTTTCTTTTTTGTTTCTGGTCTATTAAAGAGTCCTGTTGATCTAAGTTTATTCACTAAATTCTGAACTGTCTGCCTGCTGGGAACTCTTTCATCATGAAATTTACGTTGAAACTTTCACCGACACTTTCTAGCAGATGCGTATTTCATGTAGGTGTCATACGGGCAGTATACTCTAAAGTATACCGCACCATGATGAACACACTGCTCACTAATTGTAACCGAGAACAAACGGCTAATGGAGCTGGTAACTGCTACCCACCGCTGACAGATCATAAACAAACTGCCATGATGAAGTGCAGAGCCATAAACTGGTCAACAAAGTTAAGAACCTTCCTGTACTAAATGCATGCCATGCAGCCTGTCAATTTCCAAACAATCTATCAATCTCTATGACATTCTGTGACGTCCTAATGTTTTGCAGTGAGAGGTAATTAGTCTCTGCCCTACTACCAAGCTGAAGGACCACCTGTTGTCAGCTGTCCATGACTGCATATTCAGCATATTTACAGCTCCCCTCCATAATTGGAGGCCATCTCTTTCATCCATAAGAAGAATATATACCATGCTTTGACAACAAGGGACCCACCTAACCAATACAAAGCTGGGGTGAGTGTAATATACACTATTTCAGCAGTGATAGCTCAGCCCTGAAGGGGAGAAAGTGGATGAACTGGGCTTCACTCCTGACAAGAAAGTTGGAAGCTTTTCTGTTCATAGTTTCCCCTCTATTTCAGGTGACAACTATATTTATTTACACAGCTTAAAAAATCTAAATTGTAACATCAAGATCATGTACATCTCCCTACACATAAACTGAATAGTAATAAAAAAGCAACAGTTTTCCCCCATTTGTCAAGTTAAGTGGAACTTCTTTCAGCCCATACACGAAATATAAATACTAACTGTATGCAATAAGGAAGAACAGAACAAATACTTACAAATTACAGGACAATCTTTTTGTTATCCTGGGCAAATTATTTTGATAGGAGCATAATTAAATCTGCTGTTCATCTGATGCCAACATCACTTCCCAGAATGACAGTGCACTGCCACATTTTGTAACACTGTGAGCCAATCAATGAATGTATGTTTTTTAGGTTGATGTGTACAGGAGAAAGATTGCTTGGCTTCCTCATTCACCCAATCTCAGCCATTTAATTTCTATTTTAGGGATTATGAACAGGAAAAATTATACTCCTCTAAACTGACACATCACAACAATTATAATAAGTTATAGCTACAATTACCCAGAATATGCTTGAGAACACAAAGGAACAGCTGTTTTGGACACTGGATATACATTCAGGTAAATATGCGAAGCATACAGAAAAAACACCTAAAATAAAAAATGTTCACTGTTATCTGTAAGTTACAATTTGTTCTGCTGTTTCAGCATACTGTATTCAATAACTATTTAAATCTGAAATGCCAGCACTAATATGAACATTCATGGGCTCAAAACAAACACACCCATTCATGCAAACAAAAAACGCATCCACATATTCACCTACAAAAATCTCCAAACCGCACCCCCCTTACAGAATGAACTCTCAGAAAATTGTAATACATTTATTGCTGATAGGGACAGGCATGTACAAATCAATGCCCGCAGGCTAGATCTTACCATTCAAGAAGAAACGAATCATGTGTGAAAGAATTTTACATGCTACAAATTCATGTGAGGGGGCGTAGTTGGTTGAGGCACTATGCTACAAGCTGGAAGGTCACAGGTTCAAGTTCCGATGAGATCAGTGGATGTTTTCAATTGACCTAATCCTTCCAGCTACACTATGGCCTTGGGGTCGCCTCAGCCTCTAAGAGAAATGAATACCAGGAATATTCTTTGGGGTTAAGGGCGGCCGGCACGTAGGGCTGACAACCTTGCTGCCATCTATGAGCTGATGGTCTAGAAAATGTGGGAACCTCAACATCTCACAACCCTGTGGGCCTCCACGGCCTGTTACAGGAATTACCTTTACTTTACTTTTTACTTTTATGTACTTTGGTGAGACATCATCAGCTTTATGCAAACAAAATAAACTTGTTAGGCTACAGGAATGACACAGTCCATAAATAGTCTAAAACATTCACTTATAGCACATCTGCATCATGCATCCATCTCATGTGACTCTGGTAAATTGCTTCAAACTTCCATGTTCATGTGACATCCACATGCAAGTTCTCGATATTTTCTGGTGTCGCCAGTCTTCAATGTACTTTGTGCAACAGTGGAATCAGTATAAAATTTGAGGTATCTGACACAGAGTGAAACAGCTATACTAGCAAACAAGGAAAAGATCTTGCAGATTCAAATGACTGTGCAGAAGATGCAGTTTACAGTTTTGATGTGGAGGAGGGGGATGTTTTTAATATTAAAGACCAAGGCAGTGATAGTGATGCTGAAAGAGCTGAAGTTAGTACAGATACATGTCACAACACATGCTAAATTATATTACATTAATTTATAAAGGGGGACAGATCATAGTTGAGGCACTATGCTACAAGCTGGAAGATTCTGTGTTTGATTCCCATTGAGATCACTGGATTTTCCAATTGACCTAATCCATCTAGCCACACTATGGTCTTGAGGTTGACTCAGCCTCTAAAAGAAATGAGATGAAGGAATCTTTCTGGGAGTGAAGGGTGGCCAACATGTAAGGACATCTGTGAGCCGGCTGTCTAGAAAAATGTGGGTGCCTCGACATCTCAAAACCTTATGGGCCTCCACAGCCTGTTACAGGGATAACTTCACTTTACCTTATTAACTTATAAATTATATGAAGGGAAATGTTTGTAGGAGTTACTGGACCTTACAGCAATGCACAGAGTGTGACTGAAATTGTGAACATTTTTCAACTGTTTTCAGAATGGAATTTGAGTAACAGACTGCAGCAAAAGCAAACCATTACACTGAGCAATATAAGGGTGAATGAATGGAAGCTGGGTACAGTAGACCAAAGGTAGGCCATTCTAGTACTGTACATGCTAATGGGTATTACTGAAAAGCCAAGTCTGAGAATTTACTTTTCACATAATCAGCTGGAAGCCATGCCCATATTTAATTTTATTTCCTGTGATCAAGTCAAATCAATTTGCAGGTTTTCACAATTCACAGACAACACCAAAGAAAAGTATTAAGGTCTTGAAAATTGTTCAAACTCAATAATATCTTTCATCATTTAAATTCCAAATTTAAAATTCTGTATCTTCCTCTGCAGAATATTTCCACAGATGTGTGGAAACGATGCCTTTCTTTCAAGCAATGCTCCTCCCTCTCTGAAGTCCTCACAGTTTTGTACAGAAACCTCTGAATTGTGTGAGTTTAGTACTGGCTACATGCAGCCATTCATAGTCTAAAAATGGAAGCGTATGGCAATGCAGTTCCCTCAGATCACCAGTGACTTGAATATAACAACTGCTGTAATGTTTAAATTAACAGAACCACTGCTTCATAACAGATATACAATTTGGTTTGACAATTTATGTATCTGCCCAGATATGAATACATTCCTAGATTCACAGAGGAATGATTGTGCAGGGGCTCTAAAAGTAAACAGAAAGAATGTATTTTCAAAAACAGCAACACTAAGGAGAGGTAAGATTATTGTACAACATAACATACTTGTTCTGTGAATGTTATCAAATGGAGCAATAAGACGACTAGCAATATGTGTTCCACAGTGATAAAACAAGACCAGTCACAACTAACCTAGGGAAAAGTACAATTATGACATTGTACTACAGAAGATGATACATTTATTGGGGAAGTACTGACAAAAAGACCAGCTGTTACAGATGTACCTCAATGAAAGAAATACAATGAATATGTGGAATATAAGTCTCTTCTCCAGATTACTAAACGTGACAGTGCTGAACACAGTGACAGTATACAAAATGTAGAGAGAAAGATGATCATCTATGATTTATGGCTGATTTAATGCAGGGTTTGTTATAAAGTATTCTAAGGAACATAAAATGATAAGACTCCAAGCAGACAACAATAACGTAGCAACAATGACAGTGTAACACTCCACCAGAAGAATACCTCCAACAGAAAGGAAATCAAAACCCACAAAACATTGTGTTGTATGCAACAGCATGGGAAAAAGACAAGAAACAGTTACCTGTCCCCTAACTGTGAAGCGGCCTTGAGTATGGATGTTCTGTAGTGTATCATGCCAAAAATAAATTCTAAGGCAATGTGAATTGCAATTTTTCAAATCTCTTTCACTCATATTACGTATTTTCTTAACAAAAGGAACATAAACATATTTGGTTCCAGTTATGTAGCATAAACATTTTGTATACATTGATCAGTATATGGCAAAAATGTCATTAAAATCCAATATACAATATGGAATTTGTGGCCACCTAAAAAGCTTCCAATTTTCTAGTTATTACATTAAAAACTGAATGATCAGCATAAACTGATCCCATATCAGGCTCTGGACAGTGGTTTTATGGCAAAACACTGAAGAGTTAATCACACAGCTGTGTCCTTGTGAACTTACCTGTATGTCAGGAATAGATGCAGCCTCCTCAGAGAATGTCTTCCGTTCTGCACGTGGACTAGTATGTTTATTAGTACCAGCAGTAGGGAACCGGAATGAGAACTTGCGCTTGCCAGGCGTACCGGGTGTGTGTGGGCTTTCTGGTGGTGTTCCATTGTCCAAATCATTCATTGAACGTGCTGTCAGTTCATTAGCCATTGCAATTGCACAATCTAAGGTTCGCTGATCTGCAGCAGAAATTGGTTTCACCTGCAATGCAAGACATTTATTATGTTGAAGGAGCATTTGATTAAGACACCTGACAAATTGTTCTACAGATTACATAATTTTTTTTTCTCACAAAGTTATGAAAAAATAAGGTTTCTCCATATGTCTACGCATTTCATTTCTGAATACTGACTGGATTTCAATTAAATCTGGTATAGGGTATCTACATTAAACACTTAAGGTAAATCTATAGTACCACACTTTTGTTTATAATACAGGACGTATGTGGTGTATCTAAAGACACTAAACACATCTTCTGAATCCAGTATTTCCTTTGCATATGCATGAGCTGAACCAAAGTATAGTCATTGTAACAAAAATATTAGAAGCACTAACAAAACATAGAATTTCAGAAACTGCAAATTACAGCAATTCTAATGCAATTTTTAAAATTAAATGAAATCCTTAGAATCATTATCTAAAGAAAATGCAGAAGACACTTCAGAATTATCAGATACTCAGGTGAATCATAATTTCCTGAAGATCATCACCCACCATTCAATCTTTCATCACCAATCACACATGCAATTAACATTCCAAGATATCCACAATCTGAACCAGCACCTGGACATTTTCTAATCCTCCAACTTATGCAAGTAACTGCTTACCAAACCAATACAAACACAAATCTTAGCAGAACTATGAAAAGTAAGCATAAACTATCCACACAGTGAATAGTGGCACAGCTATTATGGAAAGAAAGATATTTCAGGGGTCAATGGTACTGGAATTGTATGCAAACTTCCTTACTTCCTTACTCATGGAGCTGAGACCTTCTGGAGGAGCTGCCAATTCTGCAGCTACTCAAGAATTTCCCAGCATTTTATGGAACCTGAAGGTTCATTAGTGTTCACAAGAGCCCTCCACCTGGTCCCTATCCTGAGCCAAATCTATCCAATCAATACCATCCCATCCTATCTCTCTAAGATCCATTCTGATATTGTCCACCCACCTATGCCTTGGTCTTCCCTGTGGTCTCTTTCCTTTTTGACTTTACCACCAATATCCTACAGTCCATTCGTGGAGACGAGAGAGTCCTCGTAAACAAATGCACACGGTGTCTCCTTCGTTCTTTGAATGAAATCATGCAGCAATCACATGATGCGTGTATCGTTGCAGGGGCATCCAAAGCTCACTCTTCAGTCTGAATGCAGGTTAACGTGCGTCCGAATATAGTGAGTACACTGAGTAACTGCGCGCTTTGTCCATTCCTTGCTGTCAGCTGTGGCGACGTGGGGCTTGCTTTGTTTATGCTGACTGTCTCGTCTCCGCGAATGGACTATATATACATTCGTCTCCACCATTCATGCTACATGACCTTCCCACTTCATCATCCTTGACTTGATCATTCTAATTATACTTGGAGAGGAGTACAAGTTATGAAGCTCCTCATTATGCAGTTTTCTCCAGCCTCCTGTCACTTCATCTCTCTTTGGTCCAAATATTCTCAACACCCTGTTCTCAAACACCCTCAGTCTACGTTCCTCCCTTTATGTCAGAGACCAAGTTTTACACCCATACAGAACCACAGGCAAAATTATAGTTTTGTATATTCTAATTTTTATGTTTTTGGACAGCAGACAAGAAGACAAAAGGTTCTGGACTGAATGGTAGCAAGCATTACCCGAGATCAATCTCCTCTTAATTTCCTCCTGAATCAGGTTTCGATCTGTTATTTTGTTCCCAAATATCTGAACTGTGCCACATTTTCAAAACATCTCTTTCCTATCTTTATGTCATGATTTTGCCCTGCATTTTGGTGATGAGACAGTAACATATACTTAGTTTTCTCTCTGTTTACTTCTAGACCAACCTCTTTACTTGTGTCAATTAAAGTTTGTGTGTCTTTCTTTATGGTATCTACATTATCACCCAGTAGATTCACATCATTGGCATAGACTAACAGCTGATGTGTCCCGTTTAATTTCAGTCCCACCTGGTTTCCCTGAACGTTCCTAATGGCATATTCTAAAGCAAAGTTGAAAAGGAGTGGTGATAAAGCATCTCCTTGTTTTAGACCATTCTGGATAGGAAATTTACGAGACAACTGTTTACCTGTACGGACTTTACTATAAGTTCCGTTTGAACACATTTTAATCGGCTTAACTAGTTTCATGGGTATCTCAAACTCTTATCAGAATATTGTACAATACTCCCCTCCTAACTGAATCATAGTCTTTCTTGAAGTCTACCAATAGCTGATGTACTGTCTCACTGCACTCCCATTTTTTTCCAATATCTGACAGATGCAAAGGATCTGATCTGTAGTTGATCTGTTACATCGATACCCACATTGATGATCCTCAATAATTCCATCTATGTATGGACTTAACCTTGAGAGAAGAATATTGGATAGAATTTTGTATGAAGTTGAAGTAGTTCCTTATTCCTTATTCAATATAATTAAAATTAGATCACCTTTTACAGTTTATCCTTTTCATAAGTTTTTTTTTTTGCTTAAGAAGCTGAATTCATTAATTTTTTTTAATGTCTTCTGATCATTTCACTGTATACGTGTGTGTGTGTCTATCTTAGCCAATTTTGTGTCATTTTACATAATTAGTTAAAGTAATAAAAGTATATTACTAAGTTGCACAAATTCGGTATTGGAGGAATTACATAATCAGACTTTACAAGTTAAAAATATTAGCTTACTGTAGCCTGCTTCTTCTTTCCAGTGACCTTAGCTGCCATTTCACGCAGCTCATTGCGAACATTCACAGTCTCATCAAGAGGCGAGGCTGGAAGAGGAGGAAGTCCTGGAGAAGGTGGTGGTGGAACTGGGGAGTCTCCAAAAGATCTAAACACTGCATCCATTTCATCCAGTAGACTTGGACCAAAGTCAAATGATTTCTGGAAATGTAATATCACTATATAACAAATCATTAAAAAAATTTAAAAAGTGAAAAAGGAAGTCTCATAAAGACAAATGTAATGAGATATCACAGAAGTTGACTCAGAACAGAATATCAAGGCTTCTTTGATCTATTGAAAATATTCTAAATGAGGAGTACAAGTTTCTCCAATTTGTGTTCACTAACTGTATCTTAAGATCATGCTTAAATTTCAGCGTAAGATAAATGCATTTAAAGGTAAAAGATACAAATTCTGTTAATAAATTGTGAACTTAATGTATATTTTTAGGTTCAAAAGTAATGAAGTTCATTTGTCCTCTATTTGTATCTTCAAAAGCCTTACTCCAAAAAGGGTTTTCTTTCATTTCTTTTATTCACCCACAATGTTACTAGGCTCTTCTAAAGCAAATTATTTACATCACTCACATCACTAAGTCCTGATCAACTCTCCAAAAACTTAAAGTACACACTGACATTTACCAGCAAACTTAGAGAATTCAAGAAGACTCACTTCAAATCGAGGACTCTCAACTGCTCCTTCCTCATCACTTATCTCGTGGTAATCATGATCAAGCAAATATTTCGGCCCCCCAGCTTTCCCACTTCCACCTGTTGTTGTCTGTGACACACTTGTCTCACTGGCAGTGTCTGACCATGCTGCATCTGAAATTCAAAATACAAAATATTAATTACATTACATGAACTTTAAAGTTAACTTCCTGAAAAAGATGGTTGTAAAGATACCCAGTTACTCTACATTAACCCGTTGCCGTGGTTCGTCGTGTATGTTTCGTCAGGGATTTAAATCGTCTGGGGGGGTTCGACGTGTATGTTTCGTCCAGCTGCACACGTATGTTATAACGCCCATAATAATTGATGGTTTTGCTGTAGATTGTTAGATTTTTCACTGGCCTGTTGTCAGGAGGACTGTATTTAATGACACACGCGTTTAAGAGCGCTAAGTCGTCGTTACATATGCCTGTCTTGCAGCAACGTTCCTGTGGCTATTGCGAGCTGTTTCTGTTATGAATGATGTGTTTTCTTTGCTCCGAAGCTATAAACACCAGAGACTGATATGTGCTGGTGTTTATAATATCATATTGCCCTGAGCTGGCTATTCAATTGGAATTCTTAGAAGAGGGATGTACAAAAGTTTATGCCTGCAAAATCGATTGCTTTCGCACAGTACATAGCACCCATTTCTTAGAAAAACGCCACAATTTAAGGCAGAACACTGTGGTCACCCCCTGAGACGATACGGATGTGTGTGGGGGAGGGAAAAGAACTCATTCCTTCGCTCATTATCGCTCCAGTTGACTCCATTTTATCGTACTGACCTTGGTGGTCGTTTCGAGGGATGACCATAAATATTTTTTTGAGCCAGCTAAGCTCTACTTTCGTTCACTACATACCAGACAGTTCTTAGAATAACTTCATGAATTCTGTGGTCACCCCTACGACATCTCCTGCCGCCAAAATGGATGGAATATCAAAGGCATAGCAACAACCCCTTGTTATGATAACTCGTAACGTTGAATTTACTACAGCTGACCTGGCAACTAAACGGGTCACGGAAAGACATTTCCTTGAAGTATACCCCTCACGGGTAAGAAGGCAAGGCCGCACATATGTGTGGTTAAAAAAAAGGGCCAAAAAAAATACACAATATTGGAGCGGAGAATGGTGAACGTGGGGCACCGTTGGGTTATACGAATGCTTCAAGGCCTTCCTTCTACTAAACCAACTGCCTCCATTACCGAGATACAGGGCGCTCATATTATAAGGTAAGGTTATAAAACCACCATTTAAGATCATTTTAGTGAAAGTTTCATCCTTCAAGGCGTACCATTCACTGCTGAAATACTAAACAACCTGCTTCCATGGCCGAGATACAGGGCGCCCATATTATAAGGTAAGGTTATAAAACCACCATTTAAGATCATTTTAGTGAAAGTTTCATGTTCCTATCTCATAGAATTTAAGAACAATGATGAATAAATAATTTTCGAGCAAAATTTAAATGGCCGGCTGAATATATTACCGCAGGAGCCGCGGCCGCGGAATTTAAATGACCACGTCAAAGGGTTAACCATTAGCTACCATACAGAACATTTTTCCCATAAACAATATGTAAAGGCTGAATCCTAAAGGTTAATACACACAAAACTTATGAACACTGCATTTAATAGATTCTAAAGTGTTCTGACAACGGTGTATAACACTCAGAATTATTATGTCTTTGACTATGTCCATCATCTGGTATTCTAAAAACTAGAAAACACAACGTTTTGGAAACCGGATCTGTTTCCATCCTCAGGTGAGGGGGAAGACACCTACTCTGTTGGGTCTCTTAGAAAGAGCTAACCTACAGGTCCTGGCTCCTGCAATAACAGATAGTGTTGTAATATTATTTAGAATGTTATGAGTAATGTGTTCATATGCTCAAGCGGTTAGTTGCTGGCTTCCCACTGCGGCGGCCCACGTTCGATCCTGGGTCTAGTCAAGTGGGATTTGTGGTGGACAAAGTGGCGGGTTTTCTCCGAGTACTTCGGTTTCCTCCAACAATCTTCATCCAACCAAATTCTCCTTCATCATAATCACACGGGGCAGGTACAATAGGCCAATCAGTGGCCACAGTGCCAAGCGGACCCAGCTGGACTCCAAACCACACTAAGCAAACTAAAAAAAAAAATTGTTCATATACTACATACTGTCATGTGCTAGACTATAAACAGGATATGGATTGGTACCTGGATTTATTGCATTCTTATACAACTTGTTACTACACTTCACAACTCACTATCACACACAGACTAGTGTTCTCAGTCTGTTACCACTGCTTAGTAGCCGCTTCCAAAGACAGAATTTCCCCTTTCTCTGGGTTCCCAAACTATCCCTGGCCTCAGCTACCTGCTTCCCAGAGCAGCAGTTCATGAATGAACCTCAGAAGTTCTCCAAATGCAACTCACTCACCAACTGACAACTCCTCACCAACTTGTCTTGCTTATATCTCATCACAGATCACACAGAAAACAATGCTCCTCTGTTGCAGTGCAATTTTTGCCTGCTGACAGAGCTGTTACCTAGCGACAGCTGTTGTATAGTTATTTCATAGTTGTTGCCTAGCAATGGGTCCACATGCCACAATATCTTAATCACATTTACTGTGGTTAAATTAGGATTATGAGCAAGTAACACATTAATGCCAGATTACATATTAACCACAATTAATAGGCCTTTTATAAAAAGTCAACAACAATGCTTTTTCTTTTGCCGAGCTATGGCAGCAATTCACCACTTTATGATGTCAAGAATTTTTGTGCTAACACAAATATTGCTCAATGTAAAAATGGCGGGTCATGTCAAGAGAAGAAGTATTAGTGTGAAAGGGAATAATGGGCATGAAAGTACGGGGTGCAGCAGCTACAGTTCATACTTTAAGACTATATTGATTAAACACAGAAAAAATAAGCATGAAGTTGCAAGGAAAGACAGCATCTCCAAAGGTAAACTTCTGGAAGTGGGAACAATAGAAACCAGAACTTACACCAGTTCTGTACAAAAACTGTTGTTTGTTCAGATTTGAAGACAAAATAAAATGTCAGTCTCATGCAACATCATTCAACATGCTGAAATTTTAAGTCCACTTCAGAGTGGTGTGTACAAATGAAGTGGAGGAGCAGCCTCCTTTTTTCTATATAGAGAAGGTCTTCATTGTACAAGACGTTACCATCAAACTTAAACACATTGTTGATGAAGTGCCAGTGTACTTTCATATGCCATCCAACTACAGTAGAACTTGGTTACAACGTCATCAAAGGGACCTAAAAATAGTGTCGTTATAACCGAAATGGGCACTTCCACAGTAGCCTTATGTTAGTCACGTAAAAATGTACCAAAAACCGAGTTAAAATGTTGCATTTTTTAGTGAAATACGTAGTTAAGTACAGACTAACGTAACATTAACGTGGAATTGCCCAAATGTGTAATATCAAAGACATATTACAGCGCTTTTCACTGACAATACACACCGCACTAATACTGTATATTAAAGGTAGGCCTACTCACCAAATTACAGTAGATTACATCAATTGTTGTGCCTTACTGTACCTAGATACGAGTACAGTAATCAGTTAT